TACCGCTCCTCAATGGCCTCAAACATGAGGTCAAAAATAATGTAAAAAACACCCCGATCATGAAGTATTATTACTCTTTCTTGGTTTGTACACTTTTTGCACATTTAACATCAAGAATCTAGAAGCAAAAATAACAATTGAAGGGATTAAAGCAGACAACTTAAATTCAGCATGAAAACTTGATCGAAAATGCCAAATGCATGAGAACACACTCTTCCTTAAGTGAGTATCCGAAAAGGATTTTTTGCGCTTGTTAGTGCGCTCATATTGTGACTTAATATTGTTAAAGACACCAATCGAAGTAATCACATTAAAAAAGCAAAACAGTGTCCACAAAACAAGCGTATATTTAACCAAAACAAAGCAAGTACTACAAGCTATTCACCATAATTCCTTTGCTCAGTGAGGTGCCTTCTCAAAAATTGTGATTAGAATTCAGTAAAAATTTGATCATCTGCCAGGCCTTCTTACATGGAGGGCGTCATTTTCACTTATCAACGTTGTGCCTCCATCATATTAGCTCATTCGCTCAAGGGGTTTTGATATGGTTGCACCAGGACTGTTAGTTTCGCGAGTCCTTCGCCGATTCAATAAAGCGTAATTAATAAGTTCCTCATTTTCCCTTTCCTTTACGTAAAAGTAATTGAAATTAGAAACAATCACAGGAACTGGAAGTGCAATTGTGAGAACCCCAGCCACGGCACACAAGCATCCAACGAATTTACCTAGCGTGGTTTGGGGATGCATGTCTCCATAACCCACAGTAGTCACTGTCACCACAGCCCACCAAAAGGAGTCTGGAATGCTAGCAAAGCTGTTTGGATGGGAGTCAAGCTCCGCGTAATAGACTGCAGTTGCGAAAAGCACCACACACACAATAAGGAAAAACAGTAGAAGGGTAAGTTCACGACTGCTCGCCACCATGGTCTTGGCAAGCACTTGCAACCCTTTTGAGTGACGAGAAAGTTTCAGAACTCGAATAACGCGGAAAAGTCTCAGAAAATGGAAAAACCGTAAATAGATTGTAGGACGTGTGATGGGAATTTCAAAACACATCATTATGATCAAGGCATAAAAAGGCAAAACGGATGCGATGTCAAGAATATTTAAGGCGCTTCTAAAGAATGAATACCGATTCGGGCAGCTGTAAAATCTTATGAATATCTCAATCGTAAACCACAGCATGCAAGTTAATTCTACGTAGAAAAACTCCTCTCGGAAGAAAAAATTGTCGGCCGTAAATTTTGGAACAGTTTTTGTTATTTCTACGTGATAGGTAATGAAGAGCGGTAGCGTCTCCAGACAAAAGCTTGCCACAGATATCAAAATTATTGTAATGGAAAAAATGGAAAACCATCTGGCGTAGCGAGAACTTAAAGGGTATTCAACAAACAGCCATAAATTTTGTCGCGAAGAACCATCAGGCAATAAAATATCATCCATAGATTTCAGACCTTCGTCTCTTAGTAAACTTCGTACGACCTTCTCACCAAGCTGGAAAAATTTCACCTCCTCCAAAAACACAGCAAGTGGGACTGTTAAGGGGCGCTGTATAAATCCATTGCCTTGATAATAAAATAATATGCTCTCAAAGCTTCCTCGATGTCTGTCAAAAAAATAATGCCCATGACGAGGATCAAAGAATTGGGCGCGCTTTACAGGATCTCCAAGAAGGGTGTTTGGAAACTTATGCAGCGTGATAGCATAAGTCTCAAATATCAGACCACTAACGTTTAAAACAATTCTTTCTGAGGATACAGGTGGATTTCCAGTTGAGTCCTCTTCTTGGCGTTGATACTGAGTTTCCAGTTTACCTGATCTACAGGAGAGCAACAACGAAACCGCAAATAATTAATTTAATTTTACACACATTTACAATAAATAAAGCGAAACAGATACATACTCACAATGTTGCTGGCTTATATTTACTTATTGCGAGTCTGTTTTTTGAGGCAGGACTCGGTATATCGGGCACCTCCGAATTACCTATCCAATTTATTTGAGGCCACATTAGAAGCGAAAACTCCAGATGTTCACTATACGAGTGCATTAACGTGCAAAGTTAAAACAATTTTCAAGTAAACCTCATCAAATAAATCCAGACTTTTAAAATAGTTCTTTGAGGTTGAATAACCGCAAACAGAATGATTTTCAGCCGAAAGCATCTTTTAGGTAAATTTAAAGATGTGTGAGCAATAGTCTTGGATTTTATACCACGCAAATGCTAGTATCTGAAAATGGAATCTGTTTGCCACCGACTTTTCCCAACGAATAAAATTGATAAAAATAATTATCTCTTCAAATTTTAACTTAAGAAGTGTACAAATCCCTAAAATCATTACAATTAGGAGCATAACGAGTTTCTTGCAAGTTTTGTTAGGGTAGTCATAAAATGTAGTCATAATGAATGTGTTTGTGGTAACCGCATGTCTAGCCTCTGATCCCTGGTCCTCAGACTTCAAGAGGTTGTTGGTTGCAGACGCTTTATTAGGCATAACTATTATGAAGAATGGGAATGGGATACAGACGAGATGAGTTGGAGATATCAATCAGAGGGGGCGCCTCGACAACTTCCTGCACTTAATTCACGTTCCCGATTGGTCCCCGTCTCCCACCTATAAAAGTCCACTTAAACAAACTAGTATATATTACAATGTTCTCCTTAACATTTAGCACATGCAAGGATGTTGCTTTTCACGTTCGAAGTCTAGTCAACTCACGTTGTGTTATTATCACTATATGTCGTTTGTAATGAATAAGTCATGTCAGTGTAAAATACACAGATATCGAGCATGCTGTGGCAGCAGAATCACGTCATCTCTGAAGTTCTATTCAAAGTGGCATTAAACCAAATTTGTTAGAGAGCCTTTTATGAATCCAGGAAGGAGTTGGGTGCCTATCATCAGCTAAAGTACCATGCTACCGGGTGTCACATACCTTACGGGGGCTAAAGGCGCTATTGATTTAAGAAAGCTAATAGAGCTTCAAAGTTAGTGTTATTTTACTTTAACCTATATTGTTTGATGTTATAACTAAAAGTGTGCGTTTTTTGTGTTAGTTACACCACGGTGTGATAGCCAAGCTGCTATCAAATTTTGATGCATAAATGGAGGGTTTTATTCCTAATAATTAGTGGGCGCGTTTCATTTAATTATTAAATGCTTTAAAAGCTGCGCAGAGTTGGAGTTTAATGAGCTTTCTAATAATCTCAGTCGAATCGCCGAAAAAATTACACCTAGTTTTTGTGTTTCGTAGGGTTATGATTTCTTTGTGACGTCTGTGCGATGAAAAAAAGACAATCCTAGGACCATTATGTGATTTACGAGGATCATAAGGGGTAATTAAGTGATCCATATTCAGCTTCAAAATGTCAACCAACTGCTGAAAGTGCATAACTCAAGCACACACCATCGACTAAAGTAGTTTGCTTTAAGTTGACTTAGATGTTAATGGTGGAGTAAAAGGCAGAGTTTAGCACTTGTTGGCACTACAACGGAGAGAGTATACTCTCTTTTTCCACAGGAAGCCACACGAAAACAGTAGAACCGAACATGCAATTTAAGTCACTTTTTTGTGACCATGGCTAATTCGCCTGAGACCAACGAATTAGTGAGAATGTCTACGAATTCTTTGCCCGTCGTTTTTGGGTGATACAAGCCGTGTCTTTCCATAAATGCATTAAAAGAGGATAATCTCATGATCCACAAAAGTCAAACGAGTGTCGGGAGTACAAGATAAATCGCTGAGGTAAGCGATTGTTTAAGGCCGTCACTGAGTGAACAGAAGTGCAATTTATTCCTTGTGTCGGACATCGCCTGTGTTAGTCTTAAGACTGTTGTGAATCATCGTTTAGCATTGGGTGTACTGTTTTTGCCTTTAACATTAGTGCCTTTAAGGTAGGGAGACCTTCTGTTGATATTGCAGTGTTGATTGCTGAGGCGTAGTCTATCATTCCGGTGGATTATAACTTCGTATGATATGCTGAAGACTGCCCTCCCTCAGCTCGAACAAAGTGTTGTCAAACCTGTGCTCTTAGCAATATTTTTGGCCCAGTTGTCTCTGTTCGTGCTATTATGAAACGAGCTTGGTTGACCATGCTCAACAGACAGGCGAAGATGAAGCAGTTGGAGTGGTCGATTCCTTCTATGAAGGTTATAATTTGTCACTTGCGTGGGCCTTGTCACCGCGCTTCGTAACTTCAGGCTGCCATGAATCAGGTTAAGCATCGATGATCGGTCATATGAAGTATCTTCGACAACCAGTTCATCTTGTCAAAGCTCATTTGTTTAGATACTGACAAAGTGACGTCAGCATGCGTTCTGTATTCAGCTGCCCCAGCTTCTCATGTCATTATCGGTGCTATCAAAGTAAGCTTAGGAGACAGCCTTGCAACAAATTACTTGAAAGTGGAATCGCAATGCGGATTAACATTAAATTTGACGAAGGCATTGGATTGGTCTTAGGGTCCCACAGTGGAGTCCGAAGTCTGACTTCAGCTTGCTCATTTTTTTGTTTTTTGTCGGAATACCATTTAACTTAATGATGAAAAGGGAGATTTCCAATTTCCTAAGGGATACTTTGCCGCCAAATGTGTGTGTGTGTGTG